AGAGAGAACGTGCACAGGAGGGCCAGAAAGAGGGAGACAGAGGATCCGAAGCAGGCTCTGCGCAGTGAGCATAGAAGAGCCCGACACGGGGCTCAAACCCACAATCCCCGAGATCACGACCTGAGCCAAAACCAAGAGTTGGCCGCTTAACCGACTGAGCCACCCAGGCCACCCTTGTTTGTTTGTTTTTAATAGATCCAAAATACTTTAAAAGAAGTCTTGGGCTGTCTTCAGGTGATGCAGAACTTTATGTGGGTCGTGTTCACTGCGCACTTGGCCACAGTCAGACAGCTGAATATCAGTGGGTCTGGGCATTGTGGGTACAGCTGGGACAGTTGCACACATCTCGGGTGAACGTGAGCTGCTCAGGGCAGGTCCTGCCCTCACACCCGGTACGCGGCTGACGTGTCTGAGGACTGACCGTGCCCGTGTTTTGCAGATATTTGGCTTCTTGGCAACCGCGGTATATGCAGTGAACACGTTCCTGGCGGTGCAGAAATGGAGACTCAGCATCCACCAGCAGAGTGCCAGTGACTACATCCGAGCCCGCACGGAGTCCAGAGACGTGGACGGTCGCCCTGAGATCCAGCGCCTGGACACATGAGCACCTGCCATCCTCCTCCCTCTTGTCCCCGTGCCCATCCTTTCAGACAAGTTTTCTTTCCCTCATCATGTCAGATTTTCCCGTGATTAAGTTGAATTTTGTCCTCTTTGGTGAAAGTTCATCCTGGGAAAGGGTTTTCAGAGCCCCCGTTGGCAGGTATTTGAGGCAGGGAGCCGTCGTGCCCAGCTGTTCTGACCGAGGCGGGCGGCAGAGGCCTGCCGATCGGTCCAGCGTTGGGTGGCCGTGGTTGCCGCCGACCTTACCGGCTGCCGCGTCTGCTTTAGGTCTTCGCTGTCCCCGAGCACAGGCTTCACATCTGACTCCGAGCCACCCTGTCATATATTTTTGTGACAGCTCAAGACTTTGGATTAATGGGGGCTGCTAGGAGGGGGTGGAAATCAAGGAATGAAGGTGTGGGGTTGGCAGCGATCGCCGGGCAGCCCCCTCGCGAGCTCCGGGGCACCATTTAGTCTTGCTGCCCGGAGCCTCCCCTGCTCCTCGTCTTCCACTCCTGGGGCGTCGACACACCCAGCACAGGCCCAGAAAGCCACGCGTGACGCTGAGGGTCTTGGTGATGGGGGCGCTGGTGGAGCTCTTTGCTGGGCCCAGACTTTACGGGGATGGGAAAAGCTGCTGCCCTCTTGGGGCCGTTCAGTGGGACTGCTGACATGCGGGAAGGTCACCTTTTGGTTCCCACCCTGCTGAGAAGTCACTCAATTAATTCTTCCTGAAATGCGTCACTTCCCTGAATCCCAGATTCTCCTCCGGGAACGTGGGGACCATCTTGTTTTCCAGTTTCAGACCCACCCTTACTACTTGGAGGCCGAATTGCAGGCTTCCTGCAATTTTGCCTTCTCAGGTAAAAGCCACAAAAAAAAAAAAAAACAAAAAACAAAACAAAACAAAACATTCCACCAACCAGAATGCCGGCACCTTTGCTGGCTTCATGGACCACAGGTGGGGACACACCTGTTTTAGGGATGTATGCGAATTTTTAAATGCCTGAGGACAGTTGTAAAGTGATTCTGAGTAGGTTTGTCTAGGATTTGAAAATACTTGAATTTCCAGCACGACACACCCTTTCACTGATGTTCCAGAAGGCACGGGTTGTGGCTTTTGTGCCTCAGGGTCATGACTATGAACATCGACCTCGGAAGTTGCTGGGGAAAATTCTAGTTATGTAAGGTTTTGGATGGATTCTTGATAAAGTGAAGATGATTGTGGTGAATGTGTTACATGAATCCCTTTGAGGCTGTAGGTTTTTTTGTTTGTTTTTGGTTTTGTTTTTTTTCTCGCTGGGAAACTATAATTGTATCTTTCATGGAAAAATTGCCCGTAACTTGCTGGGTTTTCACTCTCTGAACTGTTTTGAATGTTTACAAACCTCCGTGTTCCTCTACTATTCTGTGTCTGGCTGTCACCAGGGAGGAAACCCGCCCTGCCCCAGTGGGGATGGGGTGGGGGGCGGCAGCGGGTTTGCAGCCCGCGGAGGATCCCCAGGATCTTGTCTAGTAGTGAATGACTGCAGCTTTTGCCGCGTGCTGCGTGAGGAGAGAGCGAACACGAGTGTGTGCTCGGAGGTGGGGAGCAGAGCAGGTGCGAGAGGGTGTCATCCGTGCACCCGTGGCATCGCACGCCTCGCAGAAGAGCAGCGTCTCATTTCCCAGCGCAGGGACCACTGCTAGGCAGGTGGTTCTAGGGGAAACGGTACCTTCCACATCTGAAGGGTCGGGGCTAGGGGTCAGCCGCCTGAACCAACCGTCCGGAACTGGCCGAATTCTGCTGCGGTTCCTTGTCCGCGTCAGGGGCGGTGGGCTGTCGGTGCAGACCCCGCCGGCCCGGTGGTCACGCACCTCCCCTGCGCCCACACGGGTCCGATCGAGCCCCCTTCCCATGCGTGTTGTGAGGCGGCACCAGTCACGCCTCACAAACTTTGAACTTCTTATGTGTAGTGACTTGTGAGGAGATGATGACATCTGGATTTTATCTGTTCATTTTTATGTATTTATTTTGCATTTGTCGACTGTGTCTGCATAGTCTGAAATGGGCTTCTCTCCCTCTGAGATTTCCACTTAGAAACAGGGCCACAAAGACCCAGCCTCGCATTGAGTGGGGCCCACGTGGAAGGACCACCCTGAGCTTTATCAGGAATCTGCTGGGAGTCATGTTACTTGGCCTCAGTAAAAAGCCGCCTTTGAAGTGAGATCAAGAAAAAGAATACCACTCGGGCAGGATTGTTGCCCAAGTTTTTCCAAGTGGCTGCAATAAAACCAGTTTATCACCTGGTGGAAAAGGGCCTGTTGGCCTCCCGAGGATGTGTTGAAAGCTGCAAGTAGTGGTTCTGAAGCCCATTGCAATTGTAAATGCTTATAGGTGATAAAAAGTGACGATCCCTTGTGCCACCGAGGGACGTAGTGGTCGCTTTGCATCTTAGTGTTAGAATCTTCGGAATTATTTATGTCCCTGTAACTATTTAATATCCTTTGTGCCATGAGGCTCCCCCATGGTTTCTGTAAATATATTTCTTTATATTTAATTAGCTCCCACTACAGCCAGAAGCAGCCAGCTCTCTTACTGGTGTGGCGCAGAGCCCGGGAGCAGACCTCCTCGCGCGGCAGCGTGGCGGGGGCAGTTCTGAGAGGAGAGTGTGGTTGTCTAGGGCGAATGTGACGACACTTGTTTTTCTTATGTTGCCTCTGTGTGCAAACAGGACAATCTAGATTTAGGGGGCGCTTAGCAGGACTTTAGTTTTGTTTTTGCAAATTGAAGGAAGCCTATTTGTGCATGTAATGGTTCCAATGTGGACCACATCCATTTGGTTTGGGGTATTTTAAGGCTGAGGCAATCTCAGTGTTTCTCAGTTTTCTGGTAGGAGGATGCTGGCTTTCGTAGTTTGTGCCAAACTTGATGGGAACTGCAGTTGCTGTGTAGATTGGACTTCGTGCCTGGAGACCTTGTGGTGGCGACCTTCCAGCCTCCGGTGGAACCCCTGGTGGTTTTAGATAGATGCACACCGACGTCTTCAGAGAAAGTTGATCTTGGCACTGATTTTGGTTGATGTGGTATTTTCTCCCTCAGATTCTCCTGTATGTTTCCCTACAGGGTTGAAGGCGTGGAGGGAGGGAGAGGTCTTTTTCTTTTCATACAGAAAGATTACAGTCATGGAGGCCGAAAGTCGCTCGTTGGTCCCATAAAAAGCCAGGGAAGGACAAAGGTAGTCACAGATTAAAACCTTATAGGACAAGTTTGATTCAAAGTATTTTATTTTAGATTTTTACTCTGTGCAGAAACACTCATCCCAGAGAGGTTACCTTTGCCCACAAAAAGGCAAGGATGTAGTGGCCTGTCCAGTCCTGGTCTCGGCGGCTGGAACTGAAAAGCCAGCGGGGACAGAGCCTGGCTGGTCACATGGGAGCCAGCGGGACCCACTGGCTCTGAGGGCTTGACTCTCGGGGGTGGACCACAGCCCCGGCCCTCAGGGCACCACGACTGTCCCCTGGCAGGGAGGCGCACGCCTGTGCGTAGGCATGAAGTGTATCTGACGTGTTAGATGGTGAGAGCTTTTGACTCCATTGAAAACATGTCTACTCTTTTAAAAAGGTTGCCACTTCCTCTGCCTTTCTCTGATGGTTTCTTAGCGATTCAGACTTGGGTTCAGCCACAGGCGGTCTCTTGAGGCGAGGAGGCACTCTTTTGTCTGCACATGTGTATGGATTCTTGCTTGCAACGAACGAGCCTGGAATAAGGCCTCCGTATATTATGTCCTGTGTGCGGTCCAAGCTCACCTCGTCGTGCAGACAATCATGTGCTGTTTGGAAGAAACTCCTCACCTCTCCACGTGTCTAAGAGGTGGCCCAAGTTCTAATCTCTGTCTGTGCAAGATTTTCTGTGAGTTCTCAGAACCAGCCCTAACGTAAGTAGTGTGTGGAGGCGATGTGTGGCCAATTTAGTGATTCTGGAAGGCAGTGATGACTTAAGTGGTTCCCACCGTGCCATCCGTGTTCAAAACCAGGCAACCGGGAAGTCATCCTGCTACTTCCCGACTGTCATTTTCTCCATATCTTGTTTACAGGAAAATAAGGACATTAAACAGGTAAAGGCAAAAAGCACTTTCTAGGTAAAGGCTACTGCCAATTGATTCTCTCTAGGAAAATAAAAAGTTGTTCTCTGCCCCAAGGGACTGTCATTAGCTTTTGAGGTCCCCAGACGCCTTTTTGGTTCCTAGTGAACTTTGCAGAACCCAGGACTTCTGTCTGCCTCAAATTTTTCTTACCTTATCAGCACCCACTCTCAGGACCAGCTGGGCAACAGACTGGAGAGTGGAGCAGGGGCAAGAATGGGAGGTGATAGGAGAGAGGGGCCCAGCACACCCAGACTGCGTGCCTCTGGGGAACTGGCCATCACCCTGCATGTGGTCACCGACCCAGGCCATTTTGAAAAAATGTGCTTGGTTAACTACCTTCCTGTTCTCTTGTCTTTGGAAAAGTGAGGGCTGAGGTTTGCATTCAGCCTGCGAGCCAAAGCTGGATGTTGGGACCAGTATGCCTTGGAGCTCTGGGTCGGCTCTTGAGGTCTGGACAGGGGACTCAGATTCTGGTTTGGGTCCACCTTAGAGAGGACGCAGACCTAACACAGGCCTCCTTGAGCTTTGTCACCTTTCCTGGCTTTTTATAAAATCTCGTGTTTCCTCCTCTCTCAGCAGATATTATTGAGATCATAAGAACTGTGTGGTTGAAAGGTTATTTGAAACATTTGACCCTGTCCATTGCTTTTATTTAGAAACTGTCCCTGATAGAAAATACCCTTAAACTCTGTTAGATCTAGAAGAATTTTCTTCTGAAAATGAATGTTCCGTTTGACTTTTCCTTCACACCAGTAAGTGGCATTAGTGGCATTTATACACGCTTAGGCTTGAAACAGAGGAATGGGGCCGATGTGTTCTTCCTTCTTTGGTCTAGATTATATTTCTGTCCCATTTCGGTGCAATTTCTGAACCTTGGGGATTTTTTTTCCCTCTCTGGTTTTTCTTATCCCATAAATGTAACAATAAAGAAAAAAGTTACCTACAAGCCCACTGAGGTTGAAGCAACAGCAACTTGCCTAAAATAAAGTTTAGCTTATGGATCCTTGAATAGTGCATCTTGTTCCTAGGGTCAGTTTGTTTTCCGCATTTTCATGCCAAGACTTTAATTAGGGTGACCTGCTTGCTCATCTAGACACCTTGGAGCGGCAGGTTTTCCTTGGGATGCATTGTACGCAGAGGCCAGAGAGCCTTCGTTAAGGAGTTAATAGCCTGGACTCTAGTGGGCTGTCAGAACCTTTCTGGTTCCAATTTCCAGTAGGAACTGGTCTCAAATGACCTTAATCAGCTTTGTTGACAGGATTAGGGTGAGGTGAGGTTTCTTTTCATAATTGTGCCTCAGACCAGAGAAGGTAGGACACAGTTGATTCGGGTACTGGTTTGTATGGGACTCAGTCCAAAACTGTCACGTCGGAGTTGTCTCTGGAGAACGCTGCTGAACCCCAGTAGAAAGCATTTCCTGTTACCAGGAAACGAGGACAGTGTGGGGACCCGGTTGGTGCCTGTATCAAGCAGGGCCAGGTCTAACTGATGCCTGCCTCCTTCAGTGGGCCATTTTGCTTTCCTGCCTTTTCCAGAATTGATTTCGCAAGTTTCCCTTTCTGCAGAAGTGAAGGAGGCAAAGAATCAGAGCTTGAAGGGAGAATTGGCTGGTCCAAAGGCTGGGGGAAGGCTGGCTCGTGGGGAAGGACGAGGGCAGGAGGCCCAGATGGACCCCCAAGCTGGCCTAGACCTGCACGGGGGCTGACTGCTTCCAGCTCCTTCACTCTGTAACCCGTTTAAAAATGAGTTTTCAAAACCTGCCTCATGATGAAACTGACATATGTGGATAAAACCAATGCTTTTGTTAACTTGATTTTGATGTGGTTCCCTCTAAGAGAATGTAGGGATCGAAACTATTTGTATATGTTGAAATCTGTAGGGGTTCGGGAACCCGTGGCAAAAACACTTAACTATTTATTACAGGTATGACTGTATTTTTTTTCCCCCGAAGTAGGTAATTCTGTCTTTGTATATTTTAAGACAAATAATAATCACTTCACCTTCGGTGCCTTCTGTGTGTCAGTCACATAAACACTTGTCAATCATGGAACTGAAAAAAAGATGTACATTTAGTTAAACCAGATGACACTATTTTTGTAGCATGATGTTAGATCGTGTCCTTTTAATATCGCTTTTAGCAATGATGGCTTTGAGGTTTAGCCATTATCCCTTTAAACTTCGTTATGTATTTTAAAAAAGAGAAAAAAAACCACACCCACCTTGGCTCTTCCTGTCTCCTCTCTGCTGCTTTCTCCCCAGTGACTTGTTTCTGCTTATTTCAACAGTCTGAGAGTAAGCGTATATTTCTGTGAAATAATCAGTATAACTGCATTTGGCATTTTTAAAACACTTGTTCAGTTAGGGAGAGCCACTGCTCGCCTCAGACGGTAAGAGGAAAGTGGTTCTGTAGAAAGGAAAAGCATGGAACATCCGTGGCGCTCTGATTTTCCCCTTTAGGTCTGACGCAGTGAAGATCTCCCTTGCTGGCGGGCTGGTGAAGCAGAGGACCAGCTCAGGCCCACCTCCAGCCCTGCCTGGGAGAGAGGGGCTGCCCAAGGGGCCTCCACTGACTTTGGTTTGTGGACTCCTCGGGGTGGGCTCAGTGGCCCTTTCTGGTTTTGCGCTGGGACAAAATAGACTCCCTGCTATGAGGAGCTTGCTGACATTAGATAACGCTCTAGCTGCTCTGTTGGCTTTCCCACCCCTCCCATATCTATAGGACGCGAGTTCTGTGTGAAGAAAATTCTTTGAGTGAACTAGCTGAGCCACTGCAAAATGAAGGAATGGATTTACTCAAACTGTAGCTTCTTTTTTGTCCTTTGGAAGGGCCAGAAGATGTCATTATTTTAACAAAGGAAATGAAATCAGATGGCTAATAGCTCCAATATGATTATTCATTGGTACTTGGCCGGGTGGCACTTTTGGGGGGCAATGTTAACTTAGTAACGATTACATTTTGCTTCTTAGAAGTCTTTTTCCTTTAATCATTTAGGCACAGCTGTGGGGCATTCTGAGGTGATGCCCATTTGGCAAACATTGGTTTATGCTGTTGGAGGCTTTCCTGGCTTCTCAAACCCTGGCTTGTAGGTTTGACTCTATCCATTTGGAGTGGTGTTGGGGCCCCAAAGCCTTTGCTCCTGTGGGTTTGTCCCTGACAGCAGACAGAGCCTCACGTTGCCCTCAGTTTTGCCCCTTTATTTCTTTTGAAGGACCTATTTTTCACGGTACTCGTCCTGATTGTTTTCATAGTGTTCAAATCTGTATTTTTGTATGTAGAGGGAAATAATTTTCTCAGCACTAATCGTTAATAAATATTGTATTAAATTGTCACGAAGGAGTTCTTGTTTAATAAATGGACATGTAAAAATGGCATTGTCTCCTCGCTCCGACTTCCCTCCCGTCCCTTCAAAGGCCGCGGACCTAGTTCCCGAAACAAGCTTGTGAGGTGGTGGCTGAACACAGCCCGCCTCCGTGGCACAGGCCGGGGTATGGGTGTTGACAGGCAGCCTGGCTGGCTGAGCTGGGCAGGCAAGGTCCCACCGTGTACCCCTCTCGGTTTCTGCACATCAGCTTTCGGATGTATTTTCAGAACGTGTGTCAAAGCTGGGGCAGGATACCTGGGCCAAATGCCGACCCGGCGCTCTCCCAGTCTCCAAGTGTGGGGTCCCTCGTGCGACCAGTTTCCAAACCACGAGAGGCCCAGGTTCTGGCTATCTCAGAGGTGCCGTGGGTGGTTATCCTGATAGATAAGTGAGAGGCCCTCCTCAAAGGGGCCATGATGATTTGGGCAAGTTCCTGAACCTTCTGTCAGTTTCCTGGACAGTGAAACAGGATCGTGTGAAGACTAGAGGAGAGCACAGGCGTCTGATGCTTAGGTGTGCCTGGTGTGGAGCAAATGTGCGTGTGCTATCGAAGCCTGGCGCTGTCGGGACTCACCGTGTACGTGCCCAGTCTGTGCTGAAGCGTGACCCTGGACCGCATGCTCTGGGGAGTGTGAGGGGTTTTCAAACACATACACTCCAAGCAGGTAGTCTGGTTTAATCCATTATGGCTTTTTTCACATGCAAGAGAAGAACAAAGGTTACAAATGCCCAAGACATGGGTCCACGTCTGGCTCATTCATGAGGCCTCTTGGGTCACAGGAAAGGCCATTTAAAGAAGCTACTGTTGTGTAAAAAAAAAAATTACATACAGTTACAAAATCCTATTGAACATACATACACTGCACAGGTCCTCAGGCGAACACAGAAGGCACATTTCACCTCTGGAGAGGTGGTCAGGAGACCTGCTCTGGGGTCGAGAAACACATCATGCTGAGTGCCTGGGAGCCTCTTGCCTGCTGGCGGGCAAGAGGGTTTGGCTGGGCCCGCCCAGCTACCCAGGACGCTGTCAGTTACTTCACTGTTAGGTACCCTCGCTCCTTTGGACCTAGTAAGCTAATCTACAACTGGCATGTTGCCCAGAGAAGACGTGGTTTCCGAGGGCGTGAGGTGCCCGTTACGGACCCGCTCTCTCCCAGATGAGAGCCAAGGTCAGTTTTCTCCCTGCTTCAAGAATGAAGAGGCAGGGGCGCCTGGGTGGTTCAGTTGGTTAATGGTCCGACTTGGGCTCAGGTCACAATTTCGAGGTTCATGAATTTGAGACCCTCGTCGGGCTCTGTGCTGACAGCTCAGAGCCTGGAGCCTGCTTTGGATTCTGTCTCCCTCCCTCTCTCGGCCCCTTCCCTGCTCATGCTCTGTCTTTCTCTCTCAAAAATAAACACTAAGAACAAAAACAAAAAGAAACGAAGAGGCAGCTGGTACTCCTTGAACAAAAGAATCTTAGAAGGATTATTCTCCACAAAGTGCCTGTTGTGAGCAAATGCAGACAACCCCCCCTGGGGCCCAGCAGGTTGGCCTTGTGGTGGTTTCTGCCCTACATCTACCTGCCCCCCCCCCCCACCCCCTGCCAGCTTTGCAGCATGAGATGCCTCCCGTAACAAGGCTCCATCAGCTCTGTCCCCCTGTGCTGATTTTTGGCAGGGAGGTTACAAGGCTTAAGGTCTGCGGGGCAGAAATGAGAAGTGGCAGAATATTCACGAAGCCCCTGTGTATGGGGCGGTTGGACTGGGCTAAGCCAAGGGGTGCCGGTTTGTATGCTGGGCTTGGGAACGTCACCTTGGGGCTGTGAGGAGGCTGGCTCCCTCAGCAACTCCCACTGCTGCTGAGGTCACAGCCTCTCTCCCAACACACACGGTCCCCTGACCACGTCCCGGCTCTCCTGGTCAGAAGGTGCAGCAGTCAAGGCCCATGAGGCTCGGGTTGCCAGGGCAGGGTAGGCCTTCAGTCAGAGTCAGAGTCGGAATTCTCTTCTGAAAGGAAAGGAAAGCAAAGAGGATGCTTGGTGGGAGCTTCCAGACCAGCGGTGCGTGGAAGCTGTTTCTGGGGAGATTGGCTGGGTTTCTGGCTGTTGGCTGGAGCTCTGGACTCAGGCCCCTCCTGCAGCTGACTGTGATGGTGGTATCTACTTGGTGTGAAGGCCGCCCTCCCCCCAACACCCGTGCCTGGGACCTGGGACAGGCGGTTGCTGTCACCTCCAGGGCATGGCCACGTGGAGGGGGTGGAGCCCGGATGCCTCTGCTCTAGGCTGTCCCCTGTCATCCTGGGCTATTCTCACTTCGGGGTGTCAGGGAGGTATGTCTACACCCCAAACCCAACCCTACTCTGCAATTCAGCAGGGAAAGGTGGGGACAGCTATTTTCTGGCCCAAGAAACTAAAATATACTAGAAAATAAGGAAGCCTCTTTTTAGCCACCTTATAGTTTCCATCCTCCTTGCCCCAATCCTAATTTTATATAGTAATCAGACACATTTTATAATGTTAAGGGCCTATCTATGCGGTGTAACTCCAAGGTTCCTAGAATCCCAATACTGAAGAGTACTCTATAGAGGCCTTCTGGAACCTTCAGGAAGGAAAAGCACCTAAGTCATAAACCTCCCGCACCTCCCCCAGCAGTGCCAATTGCTATTTTCAGGGAGGGACCAATCTCTGTCCCTTAGAACCCCAGTCAGTCCTCATACTGTTCCTGGGTCATGGACAAGCTCAGAGAGCCTCCATAAACCTTAACTCCCTGTGCCAAGGGCTGGACTGGCATGACTTTGTGGTTTTGCTGTATTCATTCTAACACATAAGCTAGGAATAATTTTATAGCAAAAAAAATTACTATATATAACTATGTACCTTCAAATATTTAAAGCTCACAAAATATTCAAACACATGTCTCCACTGCTACTTCCTACTCGTCCACTAGAGTGGTTGTCTAGAAGCATCCATAGCAGGCAGGCAACTGGTAAGCAGGTCACAAAGACCTAAGGAAAACATCTAGGAACATTTAACCTAGCTTTAGCCTTAGTATGGGATGGGACGAGATGAGCCTCATATATTTTTAGCAGAAGAGTGGGTTCTGCTGGCTCATAAGCCTGACTGAGCTTGTTTCGGTGCTGCAGGTAAGGAGGAGAGCTTGGTTCTCTGGTCCCTGAGCCACAGGCAGGTGAGATTGGGGTGGGGGTGGGCAGGTGCATTGGGCCTGCCGGTGGCAGCTCTGCAGCCCAGTGACTGGCTACCCCCGGGGGCTCATCAGCGAAGGTGTCACAGAAGAGGAGTGGCAGGCCTGCCCTCAGCTCACCATTCCTGCAAGGGCAGCGTCCCTGGAGAGCCAGCTGCATGAAGGAGCAGGAAAACCAGGCTGCAAAGACACTCTCGGCCTGTGGGGATGCTCCTCCTGGAGCCGCAAACTGGCTGGGTATCCCTCAGGGAGAGCAGGGTCCCCGGGGGTGATAAAGCACGTTCCCAGGTAAAAACCCACAGGGTGGCCACCCACCTTCTGCCTTGTCAGCTGTGTTCTCGTCTGCGGAGTCCCCTTGTTTGAGAAATTTGGCCACATCATTAAAGATCAGATAGAAGTCAATTGCAAACACGATGGTGGCAAAGAAGCCAAACACCTGTGGGATAGGACACAAGGTGGATGGAGTCCATCATCAGGAGCTGGGAGTCCCTGGTCCAAGAGCCTGGGAAAGGGGGGGGGGGGGCCGGCCTGAGAAGCTACCGCCTGGCTTTATCTGCTTGGAAAAGCAGCTCCGATTGGCAAGCACAGACCCCTCCCGGTACCAACAAGGAGGAAAATGAGCTGTTATCTTGGCTGGGCAAATAGCCTTCAAAACTCAGGGTGGATTAAATCTCCAATAAGAGGACTTTGGAATAGCTGAGATCCACGTGAAGCCCCGAGGGGCCTAAGCTGGGACAGACCGTGCCCCAGCCACAGAGTGTCCAAGGGGCATCTGGGGTGGGGTGAACCCAAGGGGGCGTTGCTGGACAACCCCTTCCAGGGAGAGGGCGGCTACTCACCCCAGCTGCTTTGGAAGCCCCGTCTGAGTACTTGGCAACAGCTGTGATGGAGATGGCGAAGTAGATGAGGGCTGCTGTGACGCAGCGCAGGAAGTCCTGGGGAGCGGTGGGCACAGTCACTGCCCTGGCCTCCCAGGAGTGGAGGACAGCACTGGGGAGGGGCAGCTGGGAGCCCAGGCAGGGGACAGGGGCTCAGAAGGGCACCAGGTGGCAGGAATGGGGCTGGAACCCACTGTTGGCCAGGGGATGATGGGCCCGGCAGCCTGGAAACACAGCTGGCCCCGCAGATCTGGCATCCTCGGGCTCTCTGTTTGCACTCCCTGGTCCTCGTCCCACCCCCATTCCTGCCCCTGCCTAGGTGCCCCTGCGGGCTTCGAGCAGCTGAGGCCGCCTTGTCCCCGGTCCAGCTGGCCATCCACTGCCCCGTGGACAACAGGCTGCACCTGCCCTGCGGCTTGGCCCACATGCAGGTCTCCCTGTTCCCTAAGAAAGGGGAAGTTGGAAACCTGCTCATCTGCTCCCTGCTTGCTCTCCAACGGGGAGAACTGGCCCTGGGCTTCACTGTGCCACATACTTGCGGCAGATCCATTTATGCATCATGGTTTCTGCTCCCCTGTCTCTACAATGGGGACACAGGTTGTAGCCCATCAGGAAGTATATGGGATACGAAGTCAAGAGACCAGGGTTGAATGGCAGCCTTTCTGCCCCTTTTCAAACAGCAAGGTTTGAGGTGGGGCTCTGAGGCCTCCCAAGGTGACAAAACGAGTTGCCAGATGGCTAAGGCCTGGGCAAGCCCCGCAAGCCCTCAGTTAACCTGCCTTGCCCTTTTGGAAATGGCTTGAATTCCTGCGGCAGAGGCTCTTTCCGGCAGGCCCAGCTGGGAACACCAGCGCCACCTGGTGGCCAGGGGCCATGATGCCGGCTAAGGTTCCCTGCCTCAGGGAGGGGCACTGGAGGCCCTGGAGGTTAAGGCAACCTGCTCTGGGTCACACGGCTGTTGAGTGGTGGGGCCTGGCTCCAACCTAAGGCAAACAGTCCCTCCAGCACAGTGAAAGGTGAGGGCCGAAATGCAGCCAAACCCCTCCCTCCTGGGGCCCAGCCCTCACCATCATGGGCCAGCACAATCCCTGCCACTTGTCATTCAGCTGCATGGCATCAGCAAAGAGGAAGTAGAGGGCCAGCAGGAACTCCAGCAGGGGTGCCGCGAGGAAGGCGGATGCAGAGGATGCCACATAGCAGACAAAGGTGATGAACGACAGACCCTGGAGGTGAGGCAAGGGAAAGTCAGTGCCCTTGCACAACCCCTGGCCCAGTGCTCTGCAGTCAGGAACAGGGGAGGTGACCTGCCCACAGTCACACAACTGCCAGGATTAGAACCCTGTCGTGGGGCGCTGGCCCACACCCGCGCTGCCCCCTAAGCCCCTGGGCATGGCTCTGCGTCTGGACCCTTCATCAGCTCCCTGCCAGGACCCAGTCAGGAAGCCCCAGCTTCTCATGTGTGTCCAGCGCCAGCACTCCCCACCCCCACCCGGCCAGGCTGCCTCCTACAGCTGCTCACCCCACCCCCACCCCAGCGGGCTCTAAGGCAGAAACCACCCAACAGGGCACCCAGCTCAGATGGCGTCCAACAGGGCAAATCAAACCTAAGCAGTCACTAAGCAGGAACCAGTTTCAAAAAATTACCCCCAACTCCCCAAAATGTAAATGTTAGCTGAAAAAATATATAAATCTGGAGCTTTAGTTAATGATATGCATGCTGAAGTGTTCAGAGGTAAAATGTACTGATGCGGGCAAAGTATATTTTTACTTTGCATCAAAAACTAAATTCGCTTGGTGGACAGGTAAATGGGTAAGATATGTGATAAAGCAAGCATGGCGGTGGGTATATGGGCACTAACAGTAAAACCGTTCGGGTTTTTTAGAGATTTGCAAATTTTCATAAGAAGAAAAAAACATCCAGGAGGGAGTGTTGACCCTGACACTTGAGGCCCTGCTGCATCACCCCTCCAGCCTTTGTGAAAAGGGCACACTGCATTAAGGAGTAAGAATTGGAGTTCTCCGCAGCCCTCCACATGTGCTGTGGGTGGGAACTGATGCGGGAAGATGCGGAGGCCCCTAGCTAGTTCTGCAGACCATGTGGTGCGCTGCAGGGCAGACCACGCTGACTGACGGGGCTGTTGTTCCCCAGGCCAGTGCCCGCTGAGGTCTGTGGGATGTTCACAACCACCTATGCACAGGTGCTTGCTCACAGCCCACTTTACAGATGAGAAAACAGATGCAGACAGGTGAAGTGACGTTTGCTCAGTGTCATGCAATAAAAAAGGCACCAGAATTTGAACCCAGGGCTGGCTGACCACACAGCTGTAGTTCTTGCCCCACGGTTGCTGGCCTTTATCTGTCCTGGTTTCTGTCACTATGGCTGGGCTGGGCTCAGCATGCCCATGGTTGAGTAGCTTGGAGTGGGGCCTAGGGGCCCTGGAGGGACACCCAGATGCCACACAGGAAACACTGTGGCTGCTTCAGACAAATGCACTTCAGACAAATGAAGAGATCCCGGGGAGTCCCCAGGGCACAAGTCAGCCCTGAACATGGCCATGGAAGTAGCTAAGTTCAAGTGGAACAGATGGGAAATAAAGGCATAGAGAGAGTTCTCCCAGGAAAGCAAGTCCATGGGACCCCGACCAAATTCTGTCCTCAGCTGTACTTCCTCAAGAGAGGGCTGTGTCTCTCCCCTTCCTGTCCACCGCCCCCAAAGCCAGATTTTGGGGATCCCCTCTCCATTCTTGTTTCCTCATTCCCTAATTCCTGGTGGCTACTTCCTTGCCTTTCCCGTCCATGTCAGTCTCCCTACTTGCTGGGGCCTGGAGGCAGCCGGAGGTGACCAGAGGGAGCCAAGAGGGACCAGAATGGCTCCCCTGTGTCTTCAGTGATCACCCCTAACCCTTCCTCCCCACTTCTTTATCTTCCTAGGTCTGGATTCCTGACACCCAGCTATGTGCCAAGGGCTTCCTCTATGACATGGTGGGCTGAGTGGGTTGGGATTGGGGCCCCTCAGTCGCCTGTGGATTAAAGGCTTCTCTGCAAAAGAGGTTCCCATCAATTCCCAGGGCTGAACTGGCATCTGTCCGCTCAAAGTCTGCCTCCTGCTTGCTGAGTCAAGTGACTGCGACGTGGGCCGGGGATATCTGCCCCGGGCAGTAGGAAGAAGTGTGGGGGCAGAAGCCTCCTTCCTCTGATCTCCACTCCCATCCTTGGTGTCACCCAGCCCTCAAGTGACCCACCTGTCAAATCCCCTATGCGCTGGCCTCAGCTTTCTTGTCTGCAAAGTGGGAGTAAGGATAGGGGCTGTCAAACTGCTGGGAAATCTAAGGTACAAGAGCTCCTCCCTACTTCGCCTTCGCTGTGCCCGGCCTCTTCCTCCCCGGTACTGCACGGAGGACAGCACCAACCCCCCACCCCACACACTTGACTGCGCCGGAGTTTTCGGAGTGTCCCGAAGACAAAGGCCTGACGGGCAGGGGTGGGGGTTGCGAAAAGGAGGAAGGACTCGGAGGGGGCGGGGCGGCTGGATCCGAGCGAGGGAGGGGAGGAGGAGGATGAAGTCACCCCGCTGGGTTCCCGCCCCGGCCCCGTGCACCCGGGGGGAGGGGTCTGCCTGCGAGCCTTAGCCTCACCCAGTCCCGGGGGTCCCCTTCCCCACTACCCGCTGTTCCCCGTCTCAGCTGGCAGGAGTCCACTCTGGCCTCTGCCCCGCAGCTCGAGGCCCGGCCGGCCCTCCCTGCGCCCATGAAAGCGGGCAAGAGCGCAGAGAACTGACCCTGGCCCCCCACCCGAGCGTCGTGAAGCGCCGAAGGGGCCCAGTTCCTCCCGGGGCGCAGCCAGGGATGGCAGGAGGGTTTGCGGAGCGGAGCGCCCGCGACGGAGGCCAGAAGATGCAGGGACGCAACCCGTCTCGGGGGACCAGCGAGAGCGGGGGCGCCCGGAGTCACACAGAGCTGGGTTGGGTTTCCAGTGGCCCGGCCGTCGCGTGGACGGGACCCGGCCCCAGGCTTCTCAACGGGTCCCCCATGTTGGTTTAGGGAGCCGGGAGGGCCTGGATTCAGACCCCATCTCGCCTCGGTCTCGCGCGCTGAGGGTCAGCGCCACCCGACGCCTGGGGAATGCACCCAGATCCGCCCGCCTTCCTCGGCTCCGAGGGGTTGGCGGGGCCGGGAGTCTCGACGGCGCCTCCGCGGACCCGGGCCCCAGCCCCGGCCCCGCGTCGCACTCACCGACTCTGCCAGCAGGAGGCGGCCTTTGAGCGAGCAGAGGTAGGCGCGCGCCGGCAGGAGGGCGCGGAGCCCGGGCATCGCCGCGCCCGGCGGGGAGCGTCCGGCGCGCGCCGGGGCCGG